CGGCGTCTACTACTTCGCCTACCACGTGCACGTCAAAGGGACCAACGTCTGGGTGGCTCTGTACAAGAACAACGTGCCGGCCACCTACACCTACGACGAGTACAAAAAGGGCTACCTGGACCAGGCCTCGGGCAGCGCCGTGCTCGAACTCAAGGAGGGCGACCAGGTCTGGGTGCAGATGCCCTCGGACCAGGCCAACGGGCTGTACTCCACGGAATACATCCACTCCTCCTTCTCGGGGTTCGACATTAACTGTCTCTTACAAAAGAGCAGTCTTTATTATAGAGTGTTTTGCGTTAACATACCACAGGACTTTTTTTTTTTTTTTTTTTTGATAAAAAAGTGTTTTAAAATTGATACAAAAAAGAAAAAAATCACTGGGAAGAAGGCGCAAGCCGTTTGCCGTGGGACCTCGCTCCACGCTGTTTGATCCATGAGTCAAGATGGTAATTGGGAAGGAGACACCTATCCATCTATCTTTCTGTTTTGGGGGGGAGGGAGGGGAGTGACTTCCTCAGCAAAGCCTATTTGGAATAAATTTTACCCCAGGGACTGGGCATCGAACACAGGAACACGCTCCGGATGGCAATGATGTGGCTCTGTGACCCAGGGAGGGTCGGTGGGAAGACCAGACCCTCCTGGTGTGCACCAAGTGCCCTCGTTTCCCGCTGGGAATGCTGGATAAGTTCATCCAGCTGTGCCAGGGCTGGTGTGTTTGGTAACCAGCGCAGGGTCCCGGGCACAGCGATCCGTGCTGGATTGGGAAATTCCTTCCCGACGCGTTCCGCGCTCGCCGGCCCTGCCTCTCCAGGCTGTGCTTCGGGCAGTCTCTCCGATTCACTCCGGATTCAGTGTGGTTGGATTTACAATCCTGAAAAGTGGAACACTTTGCATAAGCACCTTCTTCTAAGAAGTAAATATTATTTTTAACCCACCCCACCCCACCCCAGCACCTTTAGGAATAAAAACATCCAGGCACTGGTACCTGGGAGGATGCCACGACCTGTTCCGAAGGCAGTGAGGGAAGTTGGGACCCCCGTGAGGATGATGATCTGATCTCTCCATTCACCTGCTGGGAAGCCCGAGGGCTGGTCCTGTCCTATCTGTCTCTGCAGCCCAAAGACTTGGTTGGCCTCGGGAGCGTCTCTGCCCACCCAGGGAAGGTGCTTGTGGTGCTGCCAGCTGGTGTGACACAAGGGAGTGCCACTGATGGACAACTTGCTTTTCCTGTCTCGCTGTCCGGGATGTGAGAACTCTTGCCTTGGTGTCTCTCCTTTCCCCGGGGATCTTGGAATTAAGAAATAGCGCTGGTTCTAACTCTCCATGCAGTGATTTCACCACGGTGCTACAATCCACTTAACAACGTTACTTACAAGTCTAGTGCAATACGTACCTGTGACAGGCCCCAAGTAGGTACCTGTGACAGGGCACCAGCCCTGGTGCCACTCCCTGACTTAGGTTAAAAAGTCAACATTTACCTGTTGCTACCACTTTGCCTCACTAATGCCTGAAGCGTTGCTGACCTGAGCAGAGCTGCAAGGTCTCGGCCAGGTGTGCACTGCCCACCTGGCTGCTCTGGCCCTCGGCACAGGGAGCCACAAACCCTGAGGCTCTGCAGGTTTCGCACAGTAGAACAGTCACTGCCACTCACAGGACAGGGATTCAGCTCACCCCAGGCCAGGAGCAGCCAGCCGATCGACCCGTGTGCATCCCACTGCCTGTCCCTCTGCAGAGGCACATCCCTGAGCAACAGCAACACCTTCTCACCCGCCGAGCGGCTCTGACCCTTCCCCTTTCCCGACTCCCGCTCCATGGCCAAAGACACGCAGCAAGACTGGGACTGGTCTTGTCCTCCAGATGGACTCTGAGATATTTAAACAACTTTCCTTTTCCTATTTCTGTTTTGTTTGTTTGTTTCTCTCTCAAGCCTGTCCTGTGTTTCTGCCTCCTGCCATCCAGGGCTTCCTTTTACAAACACACCTACCCCCGACACTGACAAACGCCAGAGGGAAATGTACTGGAAATGTACTGGAAATGTAGCTGGAAGGCCAATGCTCCAGTCACTGCCTCTGGGGCTGGTGTGTGCCCTCCCTAGGATCCTCTCCCTGGGATTTTTCTCTCCTTAAAGCTGCAAGTTTCATGCAAACTCCTCAAGCTAAAAGGTCTCAGCTCGCGCAGGACGTTCCTAACTCCCGAGGGCTGGGGGGAAGTCAGGACCGTGTGGGTTGTGATGCTAACAGGTTATTTCCCAGCAGGAACGGGAGCTGTATAGAGTCCCTGAGATGAAGAGTGGAAGCTCAGGTGCTCTCCCAAGCCCCGGGGTGGGAGGAGGGTGCTGGAGAGGACCTGTCTCCTCTCCTCGGTGAGGAGTGCACCGCGTGCTGCCCCCAGCAGGGCCAGGAGCTGCCACTCCTGGGGGAGCTCCATCCTGCTCCTCAGCAAAACAGCTTATTTATACCGTGTCTAACCTCCAGCCCATCTCTCCTTGTTCTGTTCTGTTTCACTCCAAACTTCTCGTCCAAGCTGGCAAAGAGCAACGACAGAACTCCTCACTAACCACCCCGAGACGTTCACTCCTTCGTGCTGTAGATATTGTTTTGCCTTTCCACTTCCCCTTCATGTGCAGAGCAAACCCATAATCACCTTCGCAGCTATTTAACCTCTTACATTTACACACTAATGGAAAGCAAAGATATTACACGCACATAGTTAGGCTAAAAAAACGATGCACAGGATGAGGGAGGCTGTTCACTCTCCGGAAGGATTTTCCTCTGGAATTCTGAGTTCCTGATATTGGCCAGCAGAAAGGATAATTTTCTGTCGTGTGTGTGAGCATGTGGGATTTTGGTTTCGATCACAAGAATAAAAAAGGTTGGGTTGGATGAGGTATGTCTTATTTTTAATGCTGAAAACTGCATCACAATGTGCATTTTTATATACAAATTCTTACTATTTTTTTTTAAAATTTGCCTCTAGTATCTTCATTTCTAACCTAGTATATAGAGGTTTTTAGTTTTGTAAATACTTATTACATGCACTGTCCTAGTAAAAGTTGGTTCGAAATGCACTCTTTGTGACCCAAAACTGGCCTGCTCTTCACAACTAAAACTGCAGTACTTGATTGTATTGACAAAACATCAATAAAACTTATGGTATAAAGGTGGGCTCAGCTCTGCTCTGTCCTGGCACCCACCTCATACACTCCATTCCCACCTCCAATCTCCTCACTCATTCCCAGCAGATCTCCCTCACTAATCAATATCTTCACACAACAAGTTGTTCCATCTTTCTTGTCATAAAGGGAAAGATTCCTGTCCCCAGTTCAGTTTTAACAAAGGATGAATCCCAGACCCTTCCAGCCTGGCAATTGTTCGTTTGAGGAATGCAAGTCAGAGTGTTTGGGATTCCCTCTCCCTGATGTGTGGTTTTTTCCATGAGTTTTCATTCCATGTTACATACCTTGTCAGCAGCCAAGCCCCAACCCATTCCCAACACCCAGAGGTGGTCGATCCCCTGCAGCAAAGCACCTTCAGAGGCTCAGAAGGCAGAGCCTCCCCAGCCGGACTCCCACTTGCCCTTCACCCAGAGCCACTCCTGGCACTCTTGGCACTGAGGAAGCACAGCCTGATGGCCTGAATGAAAACACAGGAGCAGTGGCTAATTAATCAAGGTAACTGAGGGATTTTATTTCTTTCCAAGGAAGTCAGAGCTAACTCTGGCCTAAGTGAGCTCTAGCCTTTCAACAAGAGCTCTTTGCCCTCCGTCAGTTCCAAACATTTACGCTTACGGAGCTGCTGTAAAAGAAAAATACCTTCTTGTAAATAATCCTGTGAATATTCGCCCTGTGGCAGAGGAATGTGGAAAACCTGACATTTTACAGCTCAGACCTGCAGCACGATACAGAAACACACAAAATTCCACATGTTCCCAGGACAAGAACCCATTTATACAAGGAAAAACCCATGAAAGCATCACACAACAGACTTGGCCACCAGCACCCGCTTCCCTTACACTGATCACTTCTCCCCCAATTAACCCTCCTTTCCCTCTAATTCCAGACAATTCTTCCCCAGGACAGAGGTTTAGCCCTGTGAGCACCAACTCCTGTGTCCTGCTCAAGTCACTTTAGCCCCTGACTCCAGGAATTCCTCCCCTCCCCAGGGCTGGACTCCCCAGGAGTTGGACTCCAACGATCCTTGGGGGTCCCTCCCAGCTCAGGATATTCTGTGGCTTAAACAGGAATCTCTTGGTGCTCTGGGCACACACAGGACACTAACAGTGTGGGATGTGCACGGACTGGGAACACAGGAGCAGCAGGTGGCAGTGCCTGGTGGCTCACAGGGCAAAGAACACGGGAGGAGCAGCAGCCAGTGACATCCTCTCCCAGCAGGGTGTTAGGATTGCTGTGTGCACCAAAGGGGCACAAAGAAATCCCTTCTCCCATCTCTGGACCTTCTCATTCTGCCTTTAGGGAACAAACCTCCCTGGAGATCTGCCCCCAGCATCCTCACTCAGCACAGGTGACAACCTGTGCCACCAGGCCACAGTGATGATCCCTGTGACCCCCCTTGGCTGCCCAGCCGAGAGTGACCGTCTGCTGCTCGAGGGGTGTGGAGCCTCCCAAAGCCACTGACACAGAGCAGAGGGAAACAGGGAGAAAAAGTCGTTGGGTCTGAACCCACAGTGATTGCAATGACAAGTGGCACACTGGTGGACAAAGCAAGCAGCAGAAATCCCATGGAAAACAAGATGTTTCTGTACACTCAGAGGAGCTGCACCCACTGTCCGAGGCGCCTCGTGCAGCCACTTCCCAGCTGATCTATGACTGAAGGGGATGATCCCTCTCTTCCAAGCTCCCAGCAGCAGCACCTTCTGGCTCAGGTTGAGGCTCACTGGCACCAGCTGTTGGTGCGGATCCACCACTGGATCTGACTGGAAAAGCAGAGCTGACCACCCCTTCGCCTTCAGGAAGCACCTGGAGCATCCCTGGAGCTCAGAGCCGCTGGCAGTAGAGTTCATACAAGCCCTTGGCCATCCTCTGTGTCTCCTGGAAAGCCTCACAGCTCTGCTCCCAGCTGGGGGGCACCTGCTCCTCGCCGTAGTAGGCGCCCGCGATGGCTCCGGCCATGGTGGCGATGGTGTCCGTGTCCCCCCCCAGGGACAGGCAGTAGATGATGGTTCTCTGTAGGGCGTTGTAGTGCTCAGGGATGTCAGGATCGGTGTCCATGCAGCGCAGGAAGGAGTAAATGGCCGTGGGGACAGAGCGCAGCGCGGCGATGCCATTGCCTGCAACACCCCCAGTCAGCACCCGGGGACCCACAGCACCCAGTCAGCACCCTGGGGACCCACAGCACCCAGTCAGCACCCCGGGGACC